TAACACGTCCATCGATCCTCTGGTTCTAAATCACACTTAGAAAATATTTGCCATTCAGGACCAGAGCCCCTCTGGTCTCTCTTCCAGAGCTTCTGGTCTCACGACCAGAGCCTCTGGTTCCTAATCTTATAAGAAATATTCCAACATCAAGGGCCATAGCCCCTATGTGGTTTCTTCCAGAGCTTCTGTCTAGCACAATTTGATACAGAGCTCTCATGCAGAGCCTCTGTCTAACATAACTTGACACAGAGCTCTCACGCAGAGCCTCTGTCTAATATAACTTGATACATAGCTCTTTTGTAGAGTTTCACTATAACATAACTTGATACGAAGCTCTCATGCAGAGCTTCTGGCTAGCCTAACTCAAAGCTCTCATGCAGAGTTTCTGTCTAACATACTTGATACAGAGCTCTTATGCAGAGCTTCTGCGTAGCATTCTCTATGGCGGCTTCTAAGCAGGATGCGATACAACGTGTTTAACAAAAGAAATCCAATTCTTGAAATCGAACCCTAAAACACATCCTAGGGTTCTAAACAGGGCCAAAGTCATAGCTAAACATCGTTTAAATCATAAATTGGTTGAGTGTTTACCTCTAGACGACGAGAAGCAGGGGGTTTCTTGCTGGTTTGAACTCCGGCTTCTCTCTTTCAAGCTCAACGATTCCAGTTTTCTCCCAAATGAATAACTACCTTAACCTGGTGCCCTCAATTTATACTCACACGATTTGGCCTATTAGTTGACCAAATTGGCAGAATCCCGAGTCTTGGGCTGGGAACTGCTCTCTTCCACAGCCTGCAACCATGCAGGTCACAGTTTCCTCTTATGAACCAGGCGCCGCCTGATCCTCTGCTGCTTCTCCCTAGTTGGCAACAGGCTCCCCCCCGAATTAGAGCCTTCAGCATCAGCCGTAAACAAATTTGACTTATTTCAAATTTCTAACTTTTATTTAACATATATATATATGTATATTCATAAATAAAATAGAAATAATAAAGATGCCTTATTTTATTCCTCGAAATTTTTGGGTTTTACAACTCTCCCCTCCTTCAAGAAATTCCGTCCTCAGAATTAAAACTCGTTAAAACAACTGAGGATATCTAGCCTTCATCTCTTCTTCTGGTTCCCACGTCATTTCTGCTCCCTTGTGGAATTTCCACTTAACTAATACCAATGGTATACTTTTGTTTCTTAGTCTTTTCGTTTTCCTATCCAATATGTCAATTGGCTCTTCCACATAGGCGAGTTTGTCGTTAACCTCGATGTCTTCCAGATCCAGAACAATTGATTCGTCAGCTAAACACTTTCTCAAGTTTGACACATGAAAGGTATTGTGAATACTGCCTAACTCCTCCGGTAGCTTCAACCGATAAGCAACTGCTCCTACTCTTGCAGTTATTTCAAACGGTCCGATATACCTTGGACTTAGCTTACCTTTCTTCCTAAATCTTACGACCCCTTTCCATGGCGATATTCTTAGCAAGACCTTATCACTTACTTGGAATTCCAAAGGTCGACGTCTTCTATCCGCATAACTCTTTTGTCTATCTTGCGCAACCTTTAACCTCTTCCTGATCTGTACTATTTTGTCAGATGTCTGTTGGACTAACTCGGGTCCAGCTAGTTGCCTTTCTCCAACATCTGCCCAACAAATTGGAGTTCTACACTTGCAGCCATATAACGCTTCAAAAGGCGCCGCCTTGATGCTCGAATGATAACTATTGTTATAAGCAAATTCTATCAATGGGAGGTGGTTGTCCCAACTACCTCCAAAGTCAATCACACAAGCTCTCAACATATCTTCTAGTGTTTGTATTGTCCTTTCACTCTGGCCATCAGTTTGAGGATGATATGCAGTGCTCATGTTCAGCCGCGTTCCCATTTCTTGTTGGAAACTTGACCAAAACCTCGAAGTAAACCTAATGGATATCGGCACACCATGTCTCGACACGATCTCATTGACGTAAAGTTGGGCCAATCTTTCTAATGTATACTTGTCACTGATCGGTAAGAAATGAGCAGATTTCGTTAGTCGATCCACAATTACCCATATGGCGTCATGTCCCTTTACCGTCCTTGGAAGTTTGGTAACAAAATCCATCGTTATCATATCCCACTTCCATACTGGGATCTCCATTTGTTGCTACATTCCAGACGGCTTTTGATGCTCTGTCTTTACTTTCAAGCACGTCAAGCATTTCCCCACATAGCTAGCTACTGCCCTTTTCATACCAGGCCACCAATAGCTTTCCTTTAAATTCTTGTACATCTTATTACTACCTGGATGCATAGTATATTTAGACTTATGCGCTTCGTCCATCACTACATTTCTTAGATCTCCCAAACTAGGAATCCAAACCCGATTCCCATGTCTATATATTCCATCTGGTCCAGTTGTCAAGGTCTTAATTTGTCCAATCATTCTCTCCTTTTTGATGTTCGTTTCGAGGTCTAGAAGTTCCACTTTAACACTCATCCACATGGCTCGAATTCTGATTGGTTTGTTTCTCTCCTTCCTACTAAGTGCATCGGCAACTACATTTGCCTTACCTGGATGATAGTGAATCTCACAATCTTAATCCTTAAGTAGTTCCATCCATCTTCTTTGTCTCATATTTAGCTCCTTTTGATCAAACAAGTACTTAAGGCTCTTATGATCAGTGTAGATTATACACTTCATACCGTACAGATAGTGTCTCCAGATTTTTAGCGCGAAGACAACAGCTGCTAATTCCATGTCGTGAGTTGGGTATTTCCTCTCGTGTTCCTTCAACTGACGAGACGCATATGCAATGACCTTTCCTCACTGCATTAGTACACAACCTAAACCCATCTTTGACACATCGCTGTAAACGACAAAATCTTCTACTCCTTCCGGTAGTGCTAAAACCGGTGCAATGCTTAGCCTCTCCTTGAGTATCCGAAAGGCTTCTTCTTGTTTTGTCCCCCAATCAAACCTAACCGACTTCTTTGTCAGTGTTGTCAAAGGGGTTGCTATCTTGGAGAAATCTTGGATGAACCTTCGGTAATACCCAGCTAGGCCTAGAAAACTTCGGATCTCCGATACTGACCTTGGAGATTCCCAGTTCATAACTGCATCAATCTTAGYCGGATCYACCTTGATTCCTTCCGYGTTGACTAYGYGACCGAGGAATTGTACCTCATGCAACCAAAATTCACATTTTGAGAACTTGGCGTACAATTGCTCTTTTGCTAATAATTCAAGAATCATCCTTAAGTGCTGTTCATGCTCCTCTTTACTTTTCGAATAGATCAAAATGTCATCTATAAAGACTATGACAAATTGATCCAAATACTGTCCACAAACTCGATTCATCAAGTCCATGAATGCCACAGGTGCGTTTGTTAACCCAAACGGCATTACTACAAATTCGTAATGTCCGTATCGAGTCCTAAAAGCGGTCTTCGACACGTCCTCTTCTCGAACCTTCAACTGATGGTAACCTGATCTCAAATCGATTTTCGAGAAACAGCTTGCTCCTTGTAACTGATCGAAAAGGTTGTCGATCCTCGGCAATGGATATCTGTTCTTTATCGTGATTTTGTTCAACTCCCGATAATCAATACACATCCTCATCGTGTCGTCTTTCTTTTTGACGAACAAGATCGGTGCTCCCCATGGCGACGAGCTTGGCCGGATAAATCCTTTATCTAAGAGTTCTTGCAATTGCTTCATTAGCTCTTGCATCTCTGTTGGGGCTAAGCGATAAGGTGCCCTTGCGATTGGTATCGCACCTGGTACCAAATCGATTCGGAACTCTATCTGACGTTCCATTGGTATTCCCGGTAATTCATCCGGAAATACTTCTGGGTAATCCTTCACCACTAGTACATCATGTATGGCCTTCTTTTCGAGCTTGGCGTCGATGGCGTATGCCAGGTAAGCCACACAACCCTTCCGCAGACACTTATTCGCCTTAATTGCATTGATCAACCCTGCGCAACCCTTCTTTCGATCACCGTAAACCTGGATCGTTTCTCCTTCCGGAGTTTGAATCTTGATCATCTTTTTCTTGCATAGAATTTGCGCATGATTGTTGGACAGCCAATCCATACCTAAGACTACGTCAAAACCTCCTAGGCACATTGGCATAAGCCTAACAGGGAAATCCTTTCCATCTATAACAATCGTGCATTCATCAAATACTTCGTCTATCTTACACTGACTGCCGTCGGCTATTTCTACAGTGTAGGTTTTGTCTAGTCTGCAGGCACTCCTATTCAGATAGTGGCAGAAGGTAGTAGACACAAAACTACCATTCGCACCCGAATCAAATAATACATGTGCATACACATTGTTGATAGGGAACATACCAGATACGACATCGGGTGTTTCCTTGGCCTCCTCCAAAGTCATGTTGTAAGCTCGGCCGAGTCCCTTAGGTAGCTCCTTCCTATTTTCCGCTCTCTTCCCGAATCCGTTATTCACTGTCTTCCCGTGGGGTATCGCACCATTGCGACGCTTTGGACAGTCAGGACGCAAATGTCCTGTAGCCCCACATTCATAACAAGTCCTTCCTTCCGGGCACTCTCGTGCGGTGTGCCCCGGTTTGTCACATTTATAGCATGTCAGGCTCCCCGCTCTGCACTCTCCTCTATGCTTCTTGTTGCATTTGTTACATGAAGGGATAGTGAATTCCCCACTTCGTGTTTTTGCCAGAGTCGGAGTCCATTTGGATTTCTTGTTGAACTTGCTCAATCCTTCCCACCTTCTCTTTGCCTCTCTTCTATCACCAGTCTCTCTAGCGTTGTTCTCCTCTGCCACCTTTGCCATCTCCACTGCTTGTACGAAGGTGGTCGGCTTAGTCATGTCCACGTAACGTTTGATTTCGATTCTTAGGCCATCCTTGAAACGACCTATCTTTCTCTCCTCGGTAGCCACCTGGTAACTGGCGAACCTCGTTTTTTCAAGAAACTCGTTAACATATTCTTGAACTGACAACGATCCTTGCTTTAATCTTAGGAATTCGGATTCTAGCTTGTTCACCTCCGTTTGCGAGCAGTACTTATCCATCATCGTCTTTTTCATTTGTTCCCAAGTCATGGCAGCAATATCCTCATCACCTCTGATTGCATACTCAGACTCCCACCAATGCAATGCATAGTCCACAAAGGTTGTGGCAGCATAAGTCACCTTTTGATCTTCCACGCATCTACAAATTTTGAAGCAGCTCTGTATCTTGGCTACCCAGTTCATCAGGCCAACTGGGCCCTCTATTCCTTTAAATTCCTTCGGCCCGGTGCCTTTGAATGTTTTAAAACTGCATCCTCTCTCCTTTGCAGTCAACTCGGTTCTCTCGATGATGAGCGACTCCACCTTCTCTTTATCAGACACTTCCACCCTTTCAGGGACTTGAGTGTTCTCGTGTCGAACGCTTCCTTCCTCCCCACCTTCATTATCCTTAAGTCTGTCACCCAACATTTCTTTAAGCATATTTGGCAACGTATTCCGGAGGACTTGTGCCATTTGTTCAGCCATCACTTCCTTTGTGAGAGGAATTTCTCCTCCTTGGCCCCCTTGGCTCCTACCGATAGCCAAAATAGCTAGCGCGGATGGGGTCGTACTCGAACTAGCGGTTCGGACACTTCCGCGACCTCGACTTTGGGCTCGTGTCCGTCCCCGAACTGTCGGTTGGGCTACGCCATTGATACCTCCCCCATTGCCGGCGTTCCTTGTTGATCCGCGAGAAACCATACTAACACAATAGAGTATTATTGTTTCAACAAGGTTCTAGTGTCGACTTAACATATTACATTCATGTATATACATTATACGTATACATATACATATATAGTAAAATCACTATATATATCAGCGAAATACATGATAAGGAATTCACGTCGCGATTGCATAATGCTCCAAAAGATATATATATATTTCGTTCTAATACAATCCTGGGGAGAGAGAGACATTACAAAATCTCATTTACTTACAAAAGATGGGATGCTTCACGGTTCTAAATACAGGTAAATGTTCCAAAAAATCTATCGTAGCACTGGCTAGAAGAAAACTACCTAAACACGTACAATTAGTTCTCCTACTCAAAAGATCATTCTCTCATCCCTGATCCCATGTCTAAAACTGATCTGTAGGGTAGTAAGGGAGATAAGGGTCCCTTACCCATTCTTCAAATGATGTRGAKGGCCTGRAGTGCCACCACACACTAGCCCTTGGGCCATTCTTGATGCATCGGACCCATTCGGAGAAATAGCCCCTCACTACACCAGCATAGTCTACAGTCATCCTCTTATAGAAGTGAACTCTGTCTCTAATTCTAGTGCCTACTGGGCGAGCAGCAATTCTCTGCTCCTGTTCAAGCACAACTTTGTCCCAAATTAGGGCATGACACTGGTCCGACAAATCCGCATTCTCTTCAATCAGCTCGATTAGGGCTCCTCCTTGTTCGACATGTGCCCGCTGAAGATTGTTCAGCCATTCATTCAGTCTAGTATTGTCATCTAACATTCGGGTCACCCTCTCTCTTAGCCTTGTGTTCTCGCCCCTCAGGTTCTCTATAGTCTCCATCATGTCCTCACGGGTAGGGGTGCGGGGCGTGTAGTCTTCCGAAGGTTCGGGTGTGGTCCCTTGCCTGATGGGCTCGTATGATGACGTTTCACCAGTGTGGGCCGGACTATCGCTTCCGGATCGGGTACCGGGAACCTGTCTGGCGCTGGGGCGGTGACTGTCAATCGACCCTCTATTCGGTCCTAGCCCGTAAGGCGTCCTACGGGTTCCGTATCCGCGTCTGATAGCCCTGGAGTGAATGGTGCGAACCATGTCTCCTACAAATAAAAAAAGGAATACTAAGTCGAGTAGTGACGTAGGATCAAACTTAATCGCATGCTAAGCAACGCCAATACACAATAAATATGTGCTTCTAATAATCCTTTCAGTTTAAGCTTAGGCTAAGTAAATCCTAACCTATTTACCTTAAACTAAAGCTCTAACAATCTTCTCAGTTTAAGCTTAAGCTAAGCAAGTTTTAGCCTAATTACCTTAAACTAAAGCTCTAACAATCTTCTCAGTTTAAGCTTAAGCTAAGCAAGTTTTAGCCTAATTACCTTAAACTAAAGCTCTGATACCAACTTGTAACGTCCTCATTTTTATCAAGAGAGATGTTACGTATTCTGAGACATTTCCTTAATAAATACACCAAAGTAATGGCTAAATTAAAACCATTTAAACTATTACAGCAGAAGTCTTTGAATCATCAAAATTTTAACTTAAGTTCAAACCCACCTTCTCTTGGGGTTAAGTTACAAAAGATCATTACAGCGCATCTTAGACAAAAGACTAAAATGAGATGATAATAAGCAACACTCTAAGCATGTCCTTTGCCTTTATCCGTCCTCGAACTACCTGGGCCTGAGATGCATACTATAGTCAGCTTATAAAGCTCAGTGAGTTCATGGTTTTCGTGTATAAAATCATTATACGTCATACATTTCAACTTGTAAACCTTGTACCAAGTAGCATGCAATTTCTGAAAACATGCAACACTGAAAGAAATGAGATCTCATAAATTATCTGTCTGGAATGGGTCATTTAGTCACAAACACGCCCTGGGTTGATACTTCGTTCTCGATTGATCACCCACTTGTCCGGGTAGTGTTTTATACTGG